TAATAGTAAAAGATAACCATGGATTGAACTATATAAGAAAGTAAATGCAAAAGATAGTGGAGATGATACGATACCGGGGAACCTCCCCCAAGCTTGGCGGAAGCCAAGGGGAGTGCCCATACCCGATACTCAGTTTTTTTGGTGGTGAAGAAGAAGGTGGTGGTGATGAAGTAGAAGCTATTAGGTCTTTAAGGCCAAGAGACTCTCCAATCTTCGGATGACACTCCGTAGGGAAGCGATGTGCTCCATATGCAGAATATGTTCACGAGTGAGATACTTATTTTGTATATGAACCGTTTCAATGACCCCGAAGGTTGCAATCTCAGTGGGGGTAAGATGAGCATAGTAGGGTCTAAGGATATATTCCTCTTCCCATCGGTGGGCAAGGCTTGCTCGTCCATCGGCACTTGATCTTCGGTGGCCTCCTTGCTCTTGCCCTCCTTAGCTGCTCCAACGGGGTCTTCTCTCTTTAGCTCGATCTTCATCAACCAAGCATACTCTTCCATGTCATCAGAGAGAGAAGAAGACATGATGCCTGGCTCAGCAGATCTGACAGAAAACAACAAGAAAAGAAAACAAGAGATTTCTCCGTGATACGGAGGTCAACAGGTTCGGGAGGTATATAAAGATTTTTTTTATCTTGGGGAACAAGCAGAACGGAAGAAAAACAAAGTTCAGAAAATACCCGAGATGGGCACAACCCACCTGGGCGCGCCTGGCATGCCAGGCGCGCCCTCGTGTATCGTTCCCACCAGATCAATTTCCTGGAAGTTTCTTATTTTCCTAATTTTCTAAATATTCCAAAACTAACAAAAAATGTTTTTGCAGATTTTTCAGAGTCCGTTTACTTACTGTATAATGTACCTCCCTTTTTTCATGATTCTGGAGTGTTCCGGAAGGTTTCCTTTATGTATTCTTCTGGTGTCAAAGTTTGGTTAATATTGCTTTCAATATTAATGGGCATACCTGAGATATAGTGTTTTATTCGTTGCCCATTGACAACCTTCGGGTTAGTACCTTCAGGCATGTGGGATGAACAAAAGTAAGCATGCACTCTGTTTCATCCCCAAAACAATGGATTCTCATCGAATCAGGTTGAATCTAGTAGAATCGGATCGAATTGGTTCAAATGTACGGGCCACAATCTAATCTAACACACTATGAACTACCCTAAGAATCCTAACTAAGAAGTAGAGGGGAATCTGAGAGCTTATAGTGGGGGTAGCCCGTGTAGCGTATGCTGGCCGTGGTGAAAACCCCAACAGGAAGAGGGGTGCTACCACCGCCGATGAAGAGGACCCGGCCATTCCCAGGGCCGCGGCCGTGCACCTTGGCCTGCGCCGGCTCGAAGATGATGCCAACGTCCTGGAGCTCCCCTCCCCTTGCACCGGACACATATGAGAAAACCTCTTATGGGGGTAAAAATACCCCCATAAGAGGGGCCTACAAAGGACGACACCAGCGGGTATTGGATTGATACGTCTCCGTCGTATCTACTTTTCCTAACGCTTTTGATCTTGTTTTGGACTCTAAGTTGCATGATTTGAATGAAACTAACCCGGACTATCTCTATTTTTAGTAGAACTACAATGGTGTTGTTTTTGTGCAGAAATAAAAGTTCTCGAAATTGGGCAAAACTTTTTGTAGAATTATTTTACAATAAATTAAAAATACTGGAGCCAAGAACCACCGGAGGGGGGCCCTGGGTGCCCACAAGACACCAGGGTGCGCCACCCCTCCAGGCGCACCCTGGTGGGTTGTGGGGCCCTCGATGCTCCGTGGACCCTAATTCCAGTAGTATACATTCCTATTTTTGGAGAAACAAAGAGGAGAGGAAGTTTCATCGTGTTTTACGATACGGAGCCGTCGCCTCCTGTTCTTCATCGGGAGGCCAGATCTGGAGCCCGTTCGGAGCTCCGAAGAGGGGAATCTTTGGTCTTCGTCATCACCAACCATCCTTCATCACCAATTCCATGATGCTCCCCATCGGGAGTGAGTAATTCCTTCGTAGGCTTGCTGGTCAGTGAGGAGTTGGATGAGATTCATCATGTAATCGAGTTACTTTTGTTAGGGTTTGATCCCTAGTATCCACTATGTTCTGAGATTGATGTTGCTATGACTTTGCTAAGCATATGCTTGTCACTAGGGCTCGAGTGCCATGATTTCAGATCTGAATCTTTTATGTTTTCACCATTATATCTATGTTATAGATATGATGTTGCAAGTCATATGCACCTATTACGTGTTATGATCCGTAAACCCCAGGGCGACAGTAATTGGGATACTTTCCGGTGATGACCTTAGTTTGAGGACTTCATGTATTCACTATGTGTTAATGCTTTGTTCCAATTCTCTATTAAAAGAAGACCTTAATATCCCTTAGTTTCGTTATGGACCCCCGCTGCCACGGGAGGGTAGGACAAAAGATGTCATGCAAGTTCTTTTCCATAAACACATATGACTATTTATGGAATACATACCTACATTATATTTATGAACTAGAGCTAGTTCTGTGTCGCCCTGGTTATGACTGTTATATGATGAATATTATCCAACGAATTCACCGATCCAATGCCTACGAGTTTTTCACATATTATTATTGCTAAGTTACTATTGCTATTGCTACTGTTACAACTGCTACAAATCTGTTACAGTTGTTACCGTTACCACTGCTATCATCACTACTACTCCCTCCAATCCCTTATACAAGGCCACAAACTCATATTACAGGTACCAAGATAAAATTTAATGACAGCTTTTCAAGTCAACTTTTTTTTCGTTAACCGGGATCATTAATACGTCATAAGCATGCAACAAATTAATGGGAAGAATGTGACTGAGTATCATTATGACAACATGCATGTAAGTATTAAAAAGTTGCTAGTACGAGGAAACATCATTAATTTTGGCCTCGATTTTTGTTGGTGGCCTTGTATTGATGCAAAATGTATTCTTGATAGTGGCCTTGTATAAGGGAATGGAGGGAGTACCATCAAACTATCACATTATTGTGCTACTGATCACTTTGTTATAGATATTTAATCTCCAGGTGTGGTTGAATTGACAACTCGACTGCTAATACTTGCAAATATTCTTTGGCTCCTTTTGTGTCGAATCAATAAATTTGAGTTGAATACTCTACCCTAGAAAACTGTTGCGATCCCCTATACTTGTGGGTTATCAAGACCTTTTTCTGGCATCGTTGTCGGGGAGCATAACTATATTTGTTGAGTTACTTGGGATTTATATCTATTTATCACTATGAAGAATCTGGAAGATACAAGAACTAAGATTTTCCCCTCTAAGACAAGGGGAGATAAGGAACTGTCATCTAACTCTGTACTTGATTCGTTTTCTGTTTTGAGTAAATTTGCAACACCATCACCTGCTATTAATTCCGATATGTCGCAAGTTATTGATGATGCTACTTCTACTATGAATAGTGCTTATGATGCTAGTATCATGCCTGATGATAATGTGCCACTAGATGAATTTTTTGACGAACAACTTGCTAGAGCTAAAAAGAATAAATTGCTGAAACTGATGAAATTACTGAAACTCATGAAGTCTTTGAAAATAAGAATTATGAAACACCTATTAGACCTAGCTCCAGGGACGAATCCAGGGGGG